GATGCAGAAAAATAACTGACAGCAGATTAAGATACAGACAGAATATATTAAAGATGACAAGTTTCTGCAGCTAACTCGACGGAGTCGAGTTTTCTACCATTCGAGGAGAATAATGAGTACAAGAAATGGTAATATTTGATTAGTTGATATATTTTTAAATTTTGAATTTTGAAATTTGAATTTTGAATTTTGAATTTTGAATTTTGAATTTTAGTTTAATTTTAGTTAAGTTATTTGAGGGATTATTGTTTGTTTCTATTTTTATTACACGTTGTATGCACGTAGTTATTTTTAGAAATAAGGTTGTATGAGACTATTAAAAATCAATGAATTATTGAATGAAAAATTGCATTAGCTAAAAATCTAAATAAGGTTGTATGAGACTATTAAAAATCAATGAATTATTGAATGAAAAATTGCATTAGCTAAAAATCTGGTGTGAAGCCTTGGGTGTGAAACCAAATCAATGAATTATTGAATGAAAAATTGCATTAGCTAAAAATCTGGTGTGAAGCCTTGGGTGTGAAACCTAGGCCTCGGGTGTGAAACCCTAGGTCGTTTCCTGTGTCCTCTTCCTCCAGTCACCAAGCATTCCCTCGTCTTCCCCACGTCAACAATCAGTCAAATCCTCCTCTTCCCTGCAACTACCAAATCCACACTCAGCTCACCCCTGATCTCCACCTCCGCACCACCAGCGCCATCATCTCCTCCCAAGCAGCCGCCCTATTCCCATCGTCACCGAACCTCCTTTCCTAGCAACTGCCGCCTTCATGTACACAATCTGTTAGGCAAAATTCCCCACCACAGCAATACTACCACTGCCACGACTGCTTACCACAAATCATCACATCGCTATCATCCCATCGTCCTTACAGACGCCGTCACTCAAGTCGCTGCTCAGAATCGCCGCCACCTTCGTCGTTCAGATTCGTCGCCGCGTCGTTATCAGTTCAACATCGTCGCACTCGTCGTCGTCAGATCTCCGCCTCGTCGTCGTCGTTCAGTTCATCGTTATCGTCGCCCCACCTCCAGAGGTCTCTACGTCGAGTCTGTTAAGACCGACGAAGGTTTCGCTCTATTTATTTTTCTGTTTATCTCATCTGGTTAGTTAATTGCACGAGTATTTTGTCTCTAAACTATTATCATATATTCACTACTTAGATTAGTTTTTGTGAGTTGAGTAACTGAACATGTGACTGTTGAAAAATTGATATTGATTGTGAAACTAGTACAATGATAATGAATACTGCGATTATATTGATCGAGATTGGAATTGTTCATGACTATTGAGGCAAATCGATTATATTGATCGAGATTGGAATTGTTCATGACTATTGAGGCAAATCTTGTTTAAATCCATCTGTCACGTTAACTGTTTTAATTAATTTCCTATGTTCATGACTATTGAGGCAAATCTTGTTTAAATCCATCTGTCACGTTAACTGTTTTAATTAATTTCCTATCGAAGATCATGAATTTTAGCGAAACGGTGCGTTGTTCGATTTAGATCGCTGATTCCGATGGACCCCCTCCCCCGTTTCGCATCATTAAGCCTTCTGCATGCTCATCACCAAAAACCAAATGTACATTAACGTAGAACAGACCGCACTGTATTTTTAGAAGCTAATGCCAATCTTATATAATCTTTACTTAAATCTTTTTGAGAAGACAATCTTTCACTATTTTACTATTGTTCAAAGTTTCCTTTATATATCCCCAAACCAACGCCAAAAACCAAACCATTAACAAATAATTAGGGAAAAACAATAAAAAATAGTATAGACCGACGTAATTTTACATCATAAAGTATTAGTAAATGATGGTGAATTAACGGAAGGTGGAATTATTTTCATTTATTATTTAAGAGGACAGAGGGTAAAGAAAAAGGTGCAATGTATGGTGAAACTATAGGAATAATAACATTAAATGCGAGGCTTTTTCCTTGGAAACCATGTTATACTCAGTGCCAATTTATGTAAACCACCTTATATTGTCAATTTATACCTAAACCACCTAAAAAGTTACTTTTTCTTTCAACCAACCACCTAAAAAGTTACTTCTTCTTTCAACCAACCACCTGATCCCACTTTGGTGCTCAAATTTTTATGAAATTCCAATAATACCCTCACTTAATCTCTAATGGAATGCTTGCGAAGCACCAACAAGAGAGGACACATGCTTTACACATGGGATAGAGGGTATTGTTAGGCTTGGTGGTTGACTGGAAGAAAAACAAAGTTTGTAGGTGGTTTAGGTATAAATTAGAAATATAATGTGGATTACATAAATTGACTTTAAATATAAGGTAGTTCCCCCTTTTTTTTG